AGGGACTAGGAGCATGAGAAACAAATAGCTTATTCATGAAAGCCTGAATTTTGTGAAGCTGTCAGCTTCCCCAGGCTGATGACGTAGCATTCCTCTTGGTTCTTCCAAATATGGGACCAGTTCTGCCACCAGCTTTCTGTGTAACTCTGGATAACTTGCTTATGTTAGCTGAGTTTCAGCTGCAAACACTAGAAATAAACTCCTAGATTACTTTAACTCTTATGCACATACACACACACGCTCACACACTGATTCTCTTGCCACAGTATCCTGTTTAAAAGCTCCATGCTGCTACAATCACCTCGTACTGGGTTGAATGGTGGCCCCATTCAACGAAAGATGTGTCTGTATCCTAATCCCTTGGAACCTATGAATGTGACCTTATTTGGGAAAAGGGTCTTTACAGGTGTAATTAAGCTAAGGATCTCATGATAAAATCATCCTGGATTATTCAGGTAGGTCCTAAATCCAATGACAACTCATAAGTGACTCACAGAGGAGATACACAGAGAGATGGAGAAGGTCCTGTGAAAACAGAGGCAGAGATTGGAGTCAAGCAGTTGCAGTTAAGGAATGCCTGGAGCCACCAAAAATTGAAAGCAGCAAAGAAAGATCCTTCTCTAGAACCTTCTTTATCCTTACGTTGACTGGGAGGCCAATCCCAAGTATCAGGGTATGAGCCACCCTCTGTCTGGCCTCACAGACAGGAGGTTGGACCTGGACCGAGGTTACTGGAAATACGGTCCACACGATGCCCTCTGGGGACTGTGTGTGTCTGTGTGTGTGTGTGTGTTTGTAGGGGTGGGGAGATGTGGGCCAGGCCCTGGGGTAGATCATGACTGTGGGGTGAAGATTATACTGGCCATTAAGGTGCCATGAGATGCAAAATTCAGTTTTATGTTTCCTTCAGTTCAACTCCCTCCTGTTCTTTCTCACCCTCGGTCACATTTTATTGACGATCACCACCCAGTTCCATGCACTGGGGAATCAGTGCGGACATGGTAGCTTCTCAGATAAGAGCAGAGCCTTTGAGCCAGAACCCTGGGCTGTGAATCCTGACTCAGCTATTTTCCAGCTGTGTGGCCAAGTTCTGAAAGTCTTTGGTGCCTCAGTTTCCTCGTCTGTAAATCAGTGTTAGTAATAGCATCCTTGTAGGGCTTTGTGAAGGAGAAATATAAAGTGCTTAGGATAGTAATTGGGGCATAGAAAGTGTGATAAAGTTTGCTTTTTAATTAGTACTGGGAGTGTCTGTTACACTTGGGGCCAGAGCCCTGGGAGATTGGGTGCAGCCTGGAGAAGCTGGTCAGGAAATGGCAGGAAGTGACCCGAGAGGAGCCCAGGCTAGCAGCCTGTGGTGAGGGGAGGGGCTTGCCAAAGGGACAAGGGAAAACAGGTATCTTCTGTGAAATACTTTTAGAATTACTTAGTGACCCCTCAGATGAAAGGGAAACTGGAAAAAAACATCTAGACTTGTTGACAACCTAATGGAATGGAAATTTCAACTATTGTTAGTTCAATTGGTGACCCTGAAGTTCAGGGAATTTTTGGATATCTGTTTCATAAATATTTATTTAAAAAAATGTACAGGGCTCCACTGTTCTCACTGTTCTATAAGCTGTTCTTTTCACATAACAGTAGCGAGCGTCTGCCATGCTATTGCGTGCTGTTCTGTAGCTTTACCGACAAGCATCTAATCGGCGCCCTGTTTTATTTCATTTGTGTGTTTACTATAAAAACCAACACTGTTATGAATATCTGTAGGCTAAATACTGGGCATTATTTTGGATTTTTACAGCCATTCTGTGATTGATTTGCTTGGATATGATCTTCGTCTGTATTGGACACCACTTCCTCCTCCTAAATTTCCTGGACACCTGGGTAATGCCTGGAATTAGGCTTGACCGATGGTGATGAGCCCAGGCCTGGCTGCCACTTCAGCTTCTGTGCTGTACACGCCACCTCCCTGCCGCACCTGGCAGCCTCATCTTCACTCTGGGCAGGTGGACGGCGTGCAGGAATGTGGCAAGTCTGCGTCTCTTCCCAAGAGCAAACGTGGACCCTGTGTGAGTTTGTTGTTGAGAAGGAGGCCAAGTTTAAAAAGATTTAGGAACATACACCTCTGTAGGTTAATGAAAAATGACATGTTTAATTTGTAGTTTAGTGAGCTGTCTCAAAAGATAGAGACAAGCCTTTAACTGAACAAATATTTTGCGTGTTTTAGGAGCTTGGTAACCTGTGATACGTTGCAGTACACGGAAGGTCGCAGAGAACTATGCACATCGAAAGTGTTATTTATTTTATTGGACGATGCAGGGATTCAAAAGTATACAGGGTTTCAGTAGGGAATTAGACCTGTTGTTGGGGATGGGTGGGTATAAGGCCGGGTTTGCTGAATTTGTTGTTTTTAATGGAAGTTATGAGATGAAGAAATGATTTATTTCGCAGGTAATTGTGTTGGGGGAGAGATGGAAAGTTTGGAATCCAGAACAAAATCATTGGTGAGATCCTTAAACTGTTTTTTTTTATTTGATTATTATTTTTAAATTTTGGTTTTTTTTTTAGAGTCCACATATAACTGATACATTTGTCTTTCTCTTTCTGATGTCAGTTAAGTATAATACTTCCAGGTCCATCCATGCTGTTGCAGATTTTTTAAAAAAATTTATTACTGTAATTTTTTTTGCAGATTCTTTTTTAAGCCGTTTGAGACGGCTGGGCGCTGGAGGCAGGGGAAGGGGCACTGGAGTTGCAGGGCTCAGTTCTCCCCCAGCCCCTGCTGGCACCGACAGCATGTGCGCTCAGGTGCTTCCGTAGTAAAAGTACTCTTCCATCTTTTTTCATAAAAAAATTAGCATATTCATTACGCTCCAGACATTGTGCATTATCACATTAAATCTGAAGGATATCTGAGGCTAATAGTTTTATTATGTACAGTTAACAGATAACGAGACTGAAGCCTCAGCAGTAAAGTAAATTGACTCCCAATCACACAGGTAGTTTTGGAACTGGAATACAAATCCCTCTGCCTGGCTGCAAAGCCCACGCTCTTTTATTTCTTAATGGAAGAATTGTTGATTTACAATATTGGGTTAGTTTCTGGTGTACAGTATAGTGATTCAGTTATACATCTATATATATATTCTTTCTCATTATAGGTTATTACAAGGCATTGAATATAGTTCCCTGTGCTCTACAGCAGGACCTTGTTTACCTGTTCTGTATATATATTACTGTATATAGTAATTTGTATTTGCAAACCTCGAACTCCCAATTTATCCCCCCTCTCCCCCACATCCCCCTTTGGTAACCATAAGTTTGTTTTCTATGTCTCTGAGTCTCTTTCTATTTTGTAAATAATTTTATTTGTGCAATTTTTGAAAGATTCCACAAATAAGTCATATCACATGGTACTTGTCTTTCTCTGACTTACTTCACTTAGTATGATAATCTCTAGGTCCATCTATGTTGCTGCAAATGGCATTATTTCATTCTTTTTTATGGCTGAGTAGTACTCCTTTGTATATAAATACCACAGCTTCTTTATCCAGTCACCTGTTGATGGACATTTAGGTTGCTTCCATGTCTTGACTATCGTAAGTAGTGCTGCTATGAACATTAAAGCCCATACTCTTACTCACTGTGTTTTACCATCCCTCTGCTGCATAAATAAGCACCTAAGAAATCATCTTTCATGGGAAACCACTTGCTTCTAAACTAAGAATGTGCTGTCCCCGTGTGCCATCTGACAAGGAATAAGTGACTTGGTGCAGAGGAGGTATCACAGACACCCAATGAATGTTTGTTGAATTAATGAATCATTATTTTATAATGGTATATCTTGCAGTGTGGCATGCCTGAAAACTTTAGCTGCATATTAATGATTTTACATCTTCAGATTTTAGAATTCTTTCTTAATAACTTAAAGAACTTTACTCTTAAGACAAGGGTCCGATTAGAAGCTATGTAGATAACAAATATAAACAACCAAAATGAATATGCTTACTCTGTGAGATGCACTTCTTTTTTCCATCTTTCCTCCCTTCACAAATTTTCATTTTTATCATTTTCTGAATGCCATAAAGAAATGTGTAACGTCATTACAATTACAGAGAGTAACAGCATGATGTAAGACGACAAATCACTTTTTTTTTTTAGTGAACTCTATTAAAATATATCACTTTTCAGAGGTAACTACCAGTTAGAGAGGGCATACTGAAAAAAAAAAAATCTAGGGATGACCGAATGTGGAGAAGCCACATTGGGATCTGAGGCTGCCCGCTTCTGGGAAGAACTGCCGGATGTGGTAAGTATGGCCTTAAGAGACGTGGCCAACGGAGGGCTTGGGTTGAGTAGAAAGTTTGTAGTCGGGATGGGGCTAATGATCTAGGGGGGAAAGTTCAGATTCAGTTTACACGGAGGAGTAGGGGAAAAATTTAGTTGCGATGGCAAACAGTGCCTCAACGATTCAAACATCCTCGATGAATCAAACATTCCAGATCTTTTTCTTGAAAGACTTCATGCTCCTCGTCATCAAAGTTTTGAAAGCAGGAATACAGTTTTTACCACTGAAATGTAAAAAAGGAGACAGCAGTGCATTAGGCTTCTGGAACAATATTTAGGTAGTATTGTATTACGATATGGACAAAGTAAGGCTGTATTATTTTCCAGGCCTCTTTGTAGATGCTTTTAAAATAGACCAGCTAATCTCAAAAACATCCCAGTGTACTAAATAGTATTATTCTCATTTTACAGATGAGGAAACTGAGGTTCAGGGAGGTCAGGAAAGCAGCCTATACCACAGTAGGTGATGCAGTTGGAATTTGAACCTGAGATTTGAATCCAAGGTTCCCTGAATCCAAGACCTTTTTCTTTTTCTCTATGCAGTCCTATCAAGTACTTTCTAGATTAAAATAACTTTTAGATGCTTATAAAATTATAAAACCCAACATTTACTATTCTTGGTGATTTTTCCTTTTCATTTTTTCACAGCATTTATAAAAGGTTGTGTTTATATTTCTATGGGCCATATATATACATAGACATACACTTATAGCCTCACTCCCCGGCACATACAACTGACCACTCTTTGTGTACCCGAGCAGAACCAAAGGGAAATTTTGGCTTCCCCTGACCACGTTACTCCTGTGAGTCGCCTCAGTTCAGAGATGAGGTGGCCTGCGGCTGCGGGACATGAGTACTGCATAACCCTTCAGTTTTCGCAGTTAGGTATGTATCCAGCATGTGCCTGTCTGTCTTCACTGCACACGGACCTGCCCATGTCAGTGCAGCCAACATCACAGAAAGCAGAATTCCAAGGTAGAAAGAGATCTGTCATATCTTATTTTTACACTACCTTTTTTTGGCCGATAAGACTGCTACAGTAATTGCAAAAACAATAGTTCCTACCTTCTAAGAACTAAAATGGGGACTGACTCCCATTTCTGAGGCTTCCCTTCGCCAAGCACTTGTCACTCAGAGTTTTGAAGGCTTTCCTGTGCATCACATCAGCTATGGGAATTTTCAAAATGGGTGTCGTTAAGTTTTAATGCAGATTAAAAATTTTTGGAGCTATGGTTCAGGAAAATTTGCCTGGAAATGAACACTTCTCTGCATTCTAGATTTAAGTACCCCCCTTTTTTTTTTCCTAGGTGATAGGAGAAACACAAAGGGAACATCTCAAGGCACTAAGGAAGTGAGTGGTTAGAAGAGTATTGCTTATATAGTTTCATGGTGCATGTGGAAATACAGACACATCCACCTGAAGACTTACTAGGCCGGGATCCCCTCGTTCGCACATTGTGTATTAGGAATACATAAATCTAGAGGAAATAGCAGAATACTTTATTCAGAATTCAAAGTGGAAACAAAACAAAAACTATTGTGATACTTTAATAGACTCCCTATAGGTTAGAAATGTAGGCATAGAGGCACCTAAGGGAACAACACTGATGTATATTGTTACGTCAGTTGTAGTTCAAATTGAAGCCCCTTCCTCTTCTTTTTTTTTAAATGGAGAGTATTATATTAATACCCACCTCTCTCCTGAATGATGAAATTCTTTCTTGACTTTGTTCTGTGTGCAACACATGAGGTATGAATCTTTTTGGCCATAAAATCAGACAGAAGTTTAAGGTTACCATCTTTGCCCCTGAAAGCTAAAATAAACAAACACAAAGTAAAACGTGTGCCAAAAGATGGGAGTTTGTGTTGGGTCACATTTTTACATTACCAGGAAGACTAGTTCCTAATGAAGTGATTAAGAAGATGCTTTTAATTTTATAAATATTTACTTATATTAAAAAAAAATTCAAATTACATTTCTACCTTTGTTTTCAAGGTTCCCAGACAAATGGCTTTCAGATGATGCTAGGCATTAAAATCTCCAGGGGCTGGAGAATCCTGCTTAAAATGCAGACTTCCAGGCTCTGTTCCCAGAATTTTTTTTTTTTAATGGGCATACTGGGGATTAAACTCAGAACCTCATGCATGCTGAGCACACACTCTACCACTGAGCTATGCCCACATCTGCCCAAAGCCCCCAGAATTTCAGACTCAGTCAGTTTGAGGGGTGGAGCGCTCAGGAAACGACCTTTTAAGAAACTTCTAATTGAGGCATCATATTCAAACAGGAGAGTGCCCACATCAGTGGTGTGTAGCTCAGTGATTTTCACAAACTGAACCCACACGTGGAACTAGCACCCAGTTCAGGACACAGAATCTTCCCTGTCCTCAGAGCCTTCCTCCCTCTGTCCCTCCCCTCACTCTCCCCTGCGCAGCCATGAGCATTGTGCTCCCCCTGACGCTGTAGACTGGTTTTGTCTGTTGCTGTATTTCATGAGAATGGGGGACTGTACAATTTATCCTCATTGCGATTCAGACTTCCCTCACTCACGTTATGTCCGGGAGCTTCATCCCCATCGTTCTGTGCAGTCACAGGTGAGTCCTTCTCACTGCTCTGTGGCATTCCGCTGTGTGACTCTACTCCAACTAATGCATTCGTTCTGCTTCTGCTGGGAATTCGGGTAGTTTCCAGTTCTGGCTATTACACTCGTCCTGCTGTAAACACTGCTGCTGGAGCAACCAGTGAAAGCTCAGCCCTATAATCAAGGTTCATAAAAGAGAGTCTGGGGACTTACAAGAATTTTGTCTCAAAGCTAAAAAGGAAGAGGAGTAACGTGAGGCTTATTTTTTTAAAAATAAGAGCTAAGGGCAAATAACAAAGCTTTTAGTGTTTTAATGCTATGTCTTCAACAAAAATAGAGGAAAAAAGCAGTTAAAAAGAGCAGAATTACTCAACCCTTATTTTTCTTACATTCTTTCAGTAAGGAAAACTCCAGTAAGTCAACAATGGGTAGACTGCACATGGTTAAGACACAGCTGAATCCTAATTTTAGACCAAAAGATGGTAAGTTAGCAAGTGGCAAGTTTGAGTGCTAGCAAATACATTCTGGGATCCTGAAAACTTATGCTGGTGATTCTTACTGCCTGAGTGGAGTCCAGACCCCTGGGCCTGGCAGAAGCTCAGGGTCCACTAGTCACTGGATTCAGAATTTGATAAATCTTGGCTTAACACCTTTGCTGTTGCCTCACAGCTTCCATGGGTGAGGGCTGTGGGTGTGGTTTAACTCGAGCTAGGTCCCTGGATCAGGGTCTCATAAGGCAGCAATCCAGGTGCCAGCTGGGGCCCGGCTCTCATCTGTGGCTTGGGGTCCTCTTTCAAGCTCTCAGGGTTGTTGGCAGCTTCACGAATGCCTGCGTCTTTAAGGGCAGCAGGGGAGCTTGTCTGTTCTTAGGGAAGGCTTCAATCTCTTTTAAAGGGCTTGCCTGATTAGGCTAGGCCCACCCCAAACGATTTGATGAACAGTTTGATGAACTCAAAGTAATTCTAATCTGAGATTTTAATTATATCTGCAAAAATCTCTTCATCTGTGCCATAGCATGTAATCACAGGAGTGACAACCACCATAATCACGGGTGCTCCCACAATCAAGGGAAGGAGAGAATACAGGGTGTGTACAAGGGGGAGGGAGACTAGGGGGCCAGTTAAGAATTCTTCCTACTACATTTACATCAGTACTTTTGTCGCACTTTGGAGATCACGAAGTACTGTCTTCTGTGGTCGCTGGATCTGTCGCAAATTCAGGACTGAATCGTGTGCTCCTAAAATTGACAGAACAGAGCATGTGTAAGACAGATGAAATTAAGTTTTATTTTTTGCATTGTTTTAAATGAGCACTTTTGCCTTTCATAAATTATTTACATTACCTTCTTATATGCTCATCAGACACCGGTGGCATTTTTACAGTAAATGTGAAATGAGGATACAGATGGAACAGGCCTGATCTGTCCGCAGCTCTGACACGGCCACGCTGCTTGCACGTGGAGAGAGCGGGCCTCACAGCGTGTCCTGCCTGTTCACACCTGAGTGCGCCTGCAGGGCTGCCACAGCGTAACGCCACAGGCTGGGGGGCTTGAATGACAGACATTAATTTTTTCACAGCTCTGCAGGCTGGAAGTCTAAGATCAGTTGCTGGCAGGGCTGGTTTCTGGTACAGCCTCTCTTCCTGACTAGGAGCTGGACGCCTCTGTGTCCCCACACGACCTTCCTTCTGTGTGTGCATGGAGACAGAGAGCGCTCTGGTGTCTCTTCCTCTTCTTATAAGGACACCAGTCCTAGCAGTGTAGGCCCCACTCTTACGACCTCACCTAACCTTAACTACCTCCTCCGAGGTCTTATCTCCAAATACAGTCGTGGGGGGGGGGTTAGTGCTTCAGCATACGAATTTTGGGAGACGCCATCCTGTCCATAACAAGACTCAAAACGTCTAAGGACAGTCAACAACCTGTGCAGTTTCCTGCTTATGATTACCAGTGTTTTAAAAATTACTAATCACCACGCATAGATTCATGTGTTTATGCCAAGAAATCTCTCCATATCTTTTCTTGTTTGCTGAAAATAATAGAATGTCTTGGATTGGGAGTCTGTTTGTTACCAGGGCAACAAGGTACGTGTGCTGCCCTGAGCAGTGCCACAGAGCCATCTCTATCGCTTGGTTCTGACAGAATTACTGCAAACTGCCCAGACCAACCAGTTGTATCATTTTCCCTAGTAATGAGACAAGAAAGGTCCCCACAAGTCCTCATAAAAGGAAAATAACAGAACCACAGTATATAGCAAGGGGCATAGCTCCCTCTGACAGACTCCTGGTCCCTCCAAGGAGAGGTACAACCCCCAGAGTGCAGACACCTCTCCATAGGAGTCAGGTATGAATGTCAGGATCCGTGGTAGAGACATCTGCTTATAATCTAATAAATGTTTTCTGAGCCCCTATTTTAGAAAGGGGTGGAAATGTGCTCTGTGAAGAAGCTACATTTTCTGTGCAGCTACAAGTGATCAGTGCATCCAGATTATTGCCTGGGACCCATGGAAAGACCTGGTAGACACAGGAAGCATGTGACTAGCATGTGTCCTTGTTTGCTCTTACCCTCTTTCCTCTTGTTTTCTGCCTGGACTATTGATTTGATGCCAGTAGCCATTTGGGTGGCTGGAACTTCAGGAACCATCTTGGGTAAGAGTTAATCTCCAGAAGAGAAGCCACACATCAAGGAAGATGGACCTAAAATGTGGAACAAGCCTGAGTCCATGACACTACGGAACTTCTACACCAACCCTGGACTGCTGAATCCTTTCATGTGAGGGAGAAATAATCTTTCTATTGGCTGTAGAAAGCCAACTCCTAACTGATACAAAGTATAGGATGAAAATCCCAAAATGCAAAAATTACATTAGAAAATCCTTTAAATCTCCTATAAAATTCATAAGTTTGAATGAGTTATAGACATGGGGAGATGGTGAGCCTTTAATTCTTGAGGCCAGTCAAGAAAATAGATTAGATTCTAACCTTGAATTGTTTTAAATTAGTATTTGTTTTTCAGAAATTAGCACAGAGAGACTGTAATTCAGAAATTAAGTCATGTGTGGTCTGAAAAGAAAATTATTGGGAAGCACTAGCATATATAATCCTGATGGTTGACAGCAACATATATGTACACGCACATGTGTGTGTGTGCACATATGGAATTACTATGTATGAGAGTCCATTTTCACGTTTCACACAAAATTTTATTTCTTTAACTGTATTACTTAATGTTTCTTTATGACTTTTAATTAAAATTTCAATTTTTTTCAAGGTTGTGGAACGAATCATCAGTGTGGACATCCTGATTTGATTACATCTACATGGTGTGTGTAATCTTTGAACAAAATTTTGCAGAGGCTTATCAATATGATTGAAATTCCTCTTTTTATCTCTCTCTTCTTTTTCTTTTATATTTGATTCAGCTCTAGTTTACATTCCAAACTGAGAAAAGTCACGGCGGCCACGTGGTTTTGTCAAGCTGTGGGTAAGTGAAGCTCTGAGAAGAATGGCAGGTGGAGAGGTTCTGGAACACAGATTTCCCTAAGGAATGTTACCATGTTGCTAGGCTGTGTAGTGTATCTTAACAACCAGGGAGCCACACAGGCTCCTTGGAGCCAGAGTAGGAGAAACTGGAGGGAGACAAGTTACATTCTTTTGGAAGCATTAAACAGTAGACTGTCTGTGCCAATTAAAAATTCCCAGCTCCAGTGCAAAGATTTAAGGAGATCAATGACAGACCCCTTATAAGGCTTGTAGGGTATCAACAGCCTTGAGTTCCTGTCAACCAGATCACCTTTTAAAACTGTCCTCAGGTATAATTTTAAATTCATCATTAAAGTAATTTTCTAAAATTTTAAATATGATAGTTAATGGACCTCAGTCAAGTTCATGTAAAAGCCAATTAATTGGTTTTGAGGAAATGGGCATTATCTTCTAAAGTAAACCACCTATCTTTGAGGAGATCATACAAATAAAATGTGCTGAGTTTGTGGGATAAAGACATTTAATTTGTGGAAATATTTACCTTCATTTAATAAATACTTATAGAGCATAAACTGTGACAGGTACTGGGAGTACACAGGTGGAAAACTGGACTAGATCACTGCCTGCTTGATTATTATGTCCTGTTGAAGAGAAGCAGAAAATAAATACAGAAATGTAAAAAAAAATGTCGAAGAGTGACACACATTATGTGTTATGAAGACAAGAAGACAGTTTAAGGGGGTTTGAGGGACAGTGAATGAGGCTGGGAGTGATGGTGGAAATTACCTTGGAGAAGGGTAAGGGAGTCTTTTGGAGAAAGTCTTGTTTGGACAGAGCAATGAATGAAGTGAGGGAGGGAGCCACGGGCAGACCTGAGTGGTACGTACCCTAGGCTAGGGGCTCTGCAAATGCAGAGCGGTCCAGCAGTCCTCACCTAAATAATGGTCTTTACATCCCTAGGAATTCATAGTGACTGTCAGCGGCTCATTGATCACACACTGTGTTCTCCTTCTGTAGGCAGACATTTGGCACATGTGTTGTTTTGGACTAAGAATATTAATATTTAATACAGATTTCCATGGTATATTCTAAGTAACAGTGGCCAGGACTAGATCGATTAATAATGTTTTTAAAACCGCTGATTTTGAGGATTTTTTTGTCACGTGGTCTAAATAAAGTTCAACAATTTACTAATAAATCAATAGATGCAAGAGGATTTAGAAAAGGAAATACTGTTCTCAGAAGTACTCACACAATTCTCTGAAAGGTGAATGATAATTTTAATTGGCTTTTCCCACAGAGTTAACTCTACGCAGGTTTTTCTCTTTCTCCTCAGGGTGAAAGCACAGTGTTAGCATCACAATTAAAGTAGAATTATAAACAGAATGTGGCTACTTTCATTCAGCAAATCTTTTGGGTGTATCCTCTAAGTCAGGTCTCAGTCTAGGTTTTGCAACAAACAGGCAGTGAGGCAAGACCCAGGATATTTACTAATAATAACTACAATGTTCATATTTGCCAACTGTTTAGTTTTTTAAAAAGAATTAATACAAAGATTGTGAGTTCTCTAACACTATCACTGGCATTTTGTTGTAATGCCATGTGCTTACCTGATCGGAAAGACTGGAGTTAGAACCCGTTTATACAGCTGTTACCGACACACTGTAGTTAACGGTGATTGAAACTTTTTTTTGGTACTTTGCTTCCCCACAATTTTGGGATTCAGTCTTTAAGATCTGAACATGTGCTGGGAATGCGTCTTCCACATGAACATCGTCTGTTATGTGCATCATGATGGGGAAAACAGGCTGTGAACTGCTGCTCCCTATTCTTTAGCAAATACCTATTAAGCTAAAATACTGGAAATAAGTGTGTATTCTGCGTTTTCCTTATGCTGTTTTAGATTTTTGTTTGTTTTTAAAATAGGCCTACTGTTTATCACAAGACCATATTCAGTCCTTAGTAAATAATCCATTGGCAAATTTGTAGAAGTAACTATAACTGATTTAGTCTACAAAATCCATCATATATATTTGACAAGTTTTGCATTGATGGATTTCCCCAATACTGGTTTAGGAAAATTTTTAGTCACTTCATTACAAAATCAATGAGATTTCTCGTTCTTTAACAAAGATAGTATTTATTCATCAATAAGTAAGTTACATATTTCCTGGGTCTCCACTTCTATTAATTCCTTATTTTAATAATATGTTCTTCTCATATTTCTCCTGTCTTTTGTAGAAAAAAATCCACCTTTTTGCATGAGAATGAATGATTCTTTTCATTTCTTCTGAGTTTATGTCTTAAAAAGTTACAGTCCAAAATCAATGCTTGTTATAAAGAGAAATCTTAATAGAGAAATATTATTCCGAATCAATGCATAAACTTTGGAAAGCTATCCATTAATATCATCAGGCAATGAATTATTAGTCAATTAAAGCGTGTCAAAGTCAAAATAGGCAAGAGGGAGAATTTTTCAAATGAGTAGATTATTTTTTTAGAGTGGTTTTTGAGCTTACAGTAGAACTGATCAGAAAGTGCAGGGAGTTCCATATCCCCTCTGCCCAGTTTCACCTATTATTAACATTTTGCATTAGTGTGATACACTTGTTACAATTGATAAACCAATATTGTACATTATTATTAACTAAAGACCATAGTTTACATCAGAGTTCACTCTGCATTATACAGTTCGATGGGTTTTGATGAAATGCATAATGCCATGAATCTATTATGACAGTATACACCAGTATAGCATAGGTTAGCTTCACTCTCATTCCTCCCTGACTTCCCCTCTGGAACCCTTGGCAACCGCTGATCTTTTTTTTTTTTACTATCTCCATAGTTTGGCTTTTTTCTAGAATGTCATATATTTGGAATTAGACAGTATGTAGCCTTTTCAAATGAAAGAGTGACCCCTCTCACTTAGTAACATGTATTTAAGTTTCCTCCATGTCTTTTCATGGTTTGAAAGCCCATTTCTTTTTGGCACTGTGTAGTATTCCATTATATGGATGCACTACAGTTTATTTATCCATTCCTATTAAAGGATACTTTGCTTCCAATTTTTGGCAATTATGAATAAACATTCATTTGTAGGTTTCTGTGTGGACGTAAGCTTTCAGCTCTTTTGGGTGGGCACCTGGAGTGTTACTGCTGGATCATACGGTAAGAATATATCTAGCTCTGTAAGAAACTGCCAAACTGTCTTCCACAATGGCTGTACCATTTTGCATTCCCACCAGCAAGGAATGAGAGGTCCTGTTGCTCCATATTCTTGCCAGCGTGTGGTGTTGTCAATGTTTTGGATTTTAGCCTTTCTAATAGGTGTGTAGCAGTATTGCATTATTTCAATATACAATTCCCTAATGACAAATGATGTTGAGTATCTTTTCATGTGCATGCTTATTTGTTATCTGATAATCATCTTTGATGAGGCATTCAGATCTTTCGCCCAGTTTTTAATTGGGCTGTTTGTTTTCTTACTGTTGAGTTTCAATTTGTTCTTTGTATATTTTGGATACAAGTGTTTTATCAGATATGTGTTTTGCAAATATTTCCTCCCAGTTGGTAGCCTGTCTCTTCACTTTTTTAACAGTGTCTTTAACAGAGCAAAACATAGTTTTGCTTTTCTGCAGGTTAGAGATAATTTTATTTTTGTCATTAGATCACTTGCTGGAACAATTCAAAGCACAACTTTGTCCTGAGTCATTCATTTACTTCATTTCTGAAAATTTAAGTCTAGATCAGATTCTTAATAGTACATAAAGTATATTTTAGATCTGATAGAATTGTTAATGAAAGATGTGGATAAAATATTTATATATTGGCTTTATTCTTTTAGCATCGGAACTTCCAACAGTAACATAAAAGCCGTAACATCAGATTATTAAATTTTCTATAATCCAAGAGTAAGCACTATAGCCCCTTTTAAAATACAAGAGCAAGATGAGTTTCTGACTTCCTGGAGGCACTGCGATTTTCACAGAGGGAAGAAGAATTCTCTGCATTGTTTGCTTTTTGACCTTTTATACCAGAATTTAAGGTATTTTCAAATTCCCTAAAAAAATTAGGGAATTAACCTAAGAGAATTGGTGTGGAGAAGACCACAGAGTAGAATAGCTGAGTATCCCAGCTACATCTAAGTCAATTCCATCAGGTTTCATTCAGACGAGTAAATAAAAATCTAGGAAAATAAAACAATCCATCTGTGGTCACTTTGCTCATTAATGGCAAAGCTAGGGCCATAAATTCCATTTTAAAATTCCAGTTCAGTGTCCTTTCCACCTCCTAAATTGTCTACTGTACCCTTTTGCCCCAGCACAGGTAAAAAATGAATTTACTGACTTGAACTTACAAAAGGCCCTACTCAGAAAGTAGAATGAGTAAGTCTAAGGTTTGAGTTACACAAAGAAGCTGGAACTAACTCCTCACTATGTATAAGGGGCAATAAGAAAACGTACTTTTTTATTGTTAGATAATAGTATTTTCTGAATTTAAAATATTTGAATGTATTTTATTCAGCCTAGAATAATTTTAGAATTTACAAAACTCAGATGTTTTGTGGCAACCTAATTTATAGCTGGTAATTTATATGCCATATACTCACTGTATACCAAGAAAAACTTGAACACAGATTCTCTTAAAAAAGTCAATGAACTAAAAATATTGGCCTCAAGAAAATCTTGAGATCGATTTCTAGAAATATGGATGTATTTTGACACTGCAAATTATTCTAACCAGAAAAACTCTTTGCTATAGAAATAAAATGTGTATTTTCTAATACTATGATACATAAGACTTCCGTGTAAGATAGAATATATACAACAAGCTTCTAAAATTTCAAGACTAGTGTATCACCTTCAAGAAAATTAAACTCTTTCCTATGTTCCTAATCCATATATTTTCTTTTCCACATGATTGAGAATTCCCTAAGGGACGTAACTTTATCTTTTATCCTTTAGGCCTATGACACTGTAGGTGTCTAATAAATGATTGCTGAGTGATTGAGAGAAAATCATTAAATGTTACTGAATGTTATAAATAACAACATGCCAGAGGTTCTCCAGTTTATCATCTATAGATGTAGTATCATTCTTTTGCTACTGGATTTTTCTTCTCCTTCAGGTTTTACCATCCTCTTAGAAGATACAAATTTAAGATGTTGGTTTTCTTAAATTTTTTAGTACAGTATGAAAGGTCCTTATTTACAGTTAATGTAAAGCATGTTTGTAGGTGCTGCATTTTAAAGCTGTTACTTTAACTTCCTTTATCAAAATTGATAACCATGTTATATATTTTTATGTTGGTAAGCCAACAGTGACTTTAATGTAATTAAGTGTAGAATGTATTTTAAGTTTCTCACAAATGCTTTGATTTTTCCAGGGAAAACTTTTTTCTTTCCCCCTCATGCTTATTTTGATTTCAATGTTCTCAAAATATTTGGTCTTAAAATAAGAGCCTCACACTGCTTTGACATGAGTGACAACTCCGTGCAAAGAAGGTGGAGAAGTGTTAGATGTGTGAGAAAATGCCTAGAACCCCTTGTCAGCACTACTGTCCTTCTGTGATTTCAGGGTCTGAGCACGCCCGGAAGTGAGGTTAATAAGGGAGACTCCAAGGCCTTTTGTGGCAACAGTGGAGGGGGGAACCAGCACTCCATGAACATGAGCCTGAAGTCCCCGGTGTCTGCTCCTCAGTTTGAGAGCAAAGGTAGCCATATTTCAGCGAGAAATGGAAGCTGTTTTCTAGTCAGGCACACCCCTCATCCCAGAAGGGTCTGCCACATCAAAGGTAAGGTGACTCAGGGTTCTAGGATGTCTCTCTCTCCTATATATTTGGGCTACCTGATTCTTATGGTGGATAAACACAGGGTTATTATTCAAAATATTTAACCGCTGGTGAGGCCCAGGCACTGACTACGGGGACCAGCACTGGAGCTAGAGCAGAGGCCTGCAGACACCCTCTGTGCCAGCCTTAAGCCTTGGTTTACTTGAGTGATAGGAAGGGGACCTGGAGAGGTGCCAAAGGGGCCACTCAGGAAGCTCAGGGCAGCAGCTGACCAAGTGGAGGGAAAGTTATTTCAATTTTTAACAAACTATACAGTCATGCTAGCATCTCCATGCTAAATAACAGCCCTGGAGAAGCACATATTTTATGCATTTTTTTCTCTCAATCCTTTCTTTCTCCCCTCCCTTTCTCTCTCCCTCCCTTCCTTCCTTCCTGCTTTCATCTCTCCCTCCTTCTTTCCTTCTCTCTTACCTTGCTGTCTTTCACATTTTAAAATTTAGTTTCTGTCACACCATATAGTACTATATTTTTTCCTATCCCCATGGCTTCTCCTTTACAGCATTTTTTCCCCAATGATTCTGCAGTAAATGTTCAAATCCCTTCACAGCGAAGTCCTTGGCCATTTTCCCCGTTACAAGCTTAGTTAATAAATACCCTTTAAAAGCTTTAAATGTCAACTACTCATTGAATATATCTAATTTCCTTTGAAATATTTCACATCCTTAACAAGCAAATTTTTGCCAAACTGTAGATAACTACTGTAGATTAAATAAATCAAATTTATAAACATAGAAACCACATCATTTAAAACACTTTCTTACTGTTTACCAACTTAGTAACATTAGTAATAAAGTTACTTTCTCATCAAACTGAGGTTGCCTATCAGAGAATTAGCAAGGATGTGAGATTTTCATCTTCACCTGACCCTCGCCCACAAGGTGGGTCCTTTAGAATCACTAGAGTAACAGATACCTGATGCCCTGTAGAGGGAGCTGGTCTTTCTGGGGCCCAAGGTTCCTGCATATTCAAAGAAGTTAATGAAACTCTCGCCAAGATTGTCTCTAACCTCCTTCACTGCTGGATTGAATGTCCCATTTCCCTGGCTAACTTTAAATCATTTAATGTTGTCCCATTTGACTCTGAAACCACTTTAATGCCATTTCATTTGACCCTTTGCATATTTTTATAGAGTTCTTTCCTGACTCTTGTATAGATGGAATATGAATTCTTTATTACTTATGTCCAATATGATATATTTACATGTATATGTTGTTAAATATATTTTTCCACTGGAAAAGGAAATATGTGGATGAGTAAAACAAAGCTGAAAACAAAAGTAGAAATGAAGGGGAATAAAAGCCCTCCCACCCACACAGACACACACACACACGCGCACATACATAACACACATTTTTACTAATTAAAGGAAGTAGCAGAGAAAATAGGACTTTTCCATTGGTTTGTCTCTGGGTTGACATTTTATTTATTATATTTGGTAGGCAACTTTTCACTATGTGCATGGGCCAATCACTCACCCAGGTGCTTAACATAAAATGATAAGACGTGATGCAGTCTTCAATTTTTTTTCCTCATTTCTATTTGGTACCAGTTACTATCAGTAAAGTTCTAAGTATTAGACTAAATTAAAGATTTATATTTGGCTGTGTTATTCATCTATTTAACAAAGAACCACAGAGCACCAACTTTGTGCCAGGGACTCTTCTAGACACTGGGAATAGAGCAGCAAACAAGAGACAGCTCCGTGCTTTCGTGAAGCTGACATTCTAGCGCTGCTCAGCCCAGCAGTGTGCAAGCAGATGCTGTGGGCAGAGTACAAGAGCACAGGGGACAGAGCCTGATGGGATGCTTTGCAGGCAGGGTTGTCAGCAAAGACATTTTTGATGTCATTTAAGCAGATGGATAAGAAGGGGGTGAACTGACAGTACTAGGAGGAGATTTGGAAGAATGAGCAAATATGCAAAACACTCCAGACGCTTCCTGTGCGACTTCTTGGGAGACAAAGCAGCCATCTATTACTACCTCTCATAATTCACTGATTAACAGAGCAGGGCCCTGCACGTGCCCATTTCCTAAGCTGTCTGATTCGACGTGACACAACGTTGATACTGAAAAGAGGGCCTGTCTGTAATTCAGTATTTGAGCCAAAAGCAAACAGCTATTATAGGAGAGTGAATGAACCCAGAAAACTCTGACGTGAGGAAAGGAGTTCCTTTATACCACGTTTTCCTTCCTTCCTTCCCACACAATCTCCCTTATCCTGCCTCCTATCCTTAGCGCCAACAGCTTTTTGCCTTCTGTCAGGACAAAAGAAGAGCCAGTATACGTCTTTTAGGATTTGTTACACTGGGACATTCTGGGTGCTTTCAGAAGTCTAAATCTGGTATTCGTGAAGAGGGCTACTGTAATCCCTCTTTGTCATCGTCAAGACTTGGGAAACGAAAGGTCTGTCTGGGAGAGAAGCACATCTACTCCGCTGGACTCCCAGACCAAGATCAAAGATGTGGGCCTGCTTCCCAAAGCTAACAAGATGGGAGGACATTGTAAGGAAGAGTATGTTGCAAACATCATTTGCTACACTGACTTTCAAAGAATGTCCACCTAGCACTGGTTCATAACAATTTGAAGCCTGACATCTTATGTACATTTCATAATATCTGGTTGAGAAATTGCTGATCATTCAAAGTAAACCTGCCAAAATCTAACCTGGTCGTTTGTTCTTTTGATCTTATTCACCTAGGTTTGAATAACATTCCAATCTGTACCGTGAATGATGATGAGGACTCATTCAGAACATTGTGGAGTGCCGGCCAGTTCAACCACTCAGAGAAGGACGAGATACAGTATGCCAAATGCAGTTACCCACCCAGCACCGCAGCCCTGGACAGCCCCGTTAGAGGAGCCTCACCAGCCCCAAACAGGCTCAGAGAGCCCCCACGGCCTCATTCTGGTGAGTCCCTCTCCACTCACGAAATCTTTCCTGAGGCCTCCTGCAAATTATCAGAAGGGAAAAAAAATCTTGTTCATATAGCTGCAGTCATTTTTAAACAGTCATGAAATTTCCTCACTGTGAAACAGGTTATTCATTATAAAATTTTTTTATTCATCTAATCTCAATCCAGTAGTTCAATAATGTTAATAAATATTACTTAAAATTATCATTGTTATTGTTAATTGTGCCCAAGACAAATTTGTTATGGTTCTAGTCTCTAATCTCTACAAAGTAGCTAACGGGTACCAAAAATGAGTCTTAGCCAATAGTGGTGGAGAAACTACCGCAGACACAAAGTGAGTCAGGGAAACGTAATAAGGATGGAATTGCATGTTTACCTCTTCCCCATGGGATGGTCACCTCCTTAAGGTCAGGGCCCAGTGTTACTACTTTGTGTATTTTTGCAACTTTTGGTATCTCCTCGGGTCCCAGCCCAATGCTTGGTCTTTAGCAAACAATTCAATTCAATTAATTAATATTTATTAAATTAAATTAAAAGGGATTAACCAAATGTACAGCATGATGACTGTAGTTAATAATACTGTATTATATATTTGAAAGTTATGAGAGTAGATCTTAAAATTTCACATCAAGAAAAAAAGGGCAACGATGTGTGGTGATGAATGCGAAGTAAACTGTGATAATCATTTTGCAATATACATGTGATCACATACATATCATTATGTTGTACAACTTAAACTAGTAAGAAAAAAGCACAGTACGGCAAAATCTAAAAGGCACAGTACAATAAAAGTAATTCTGATTGGTAGAAATTGTGTCTAGTTCTCTTTCTCCTGCCTTATATAATTATAAACTCTTACTAAGTTTCAGGGCACATGAAAATTATTTTGGTATAATGTGGTAAAGTATATATATATTTCCCAAAAAATAATGATAAAAGGGATCATTCATAGAGTACTTACTATGTAATTCCATCCTAAAGTCTCCACACTTGTTCACTTCCTTCACCCTCTTCCCTCCTTTCCACTAGCCATGAAGAACTAAAGCCCACGTGTTCACCTTCTTTCTGCTGTCCCTTCTTATACTGTAAAACCTAGAAACTTTAAAAATTACATTTGCAGGGGTCCCTTGATGAGAATTAGATGGTGCCATCTGGTAAGATTTGTATTGCAGATGTGGGCGGGGCTGAAGGCATCTTTTTGGTTGCTGTCCGCTACCAAGCATGACTGGAGACAGGGGTTTCCTAATGCAACATCCCAGGGTTCAGATTCTGGATTTACAGATGTCAAAAGGCAAGTCAGCAGATGTGGTGGCTTTCTGACTGCAGCAGTGGTCCAGGGCCTAAGATTTAGCCTCATGGATTTTGTGACAGCAGTTGACATAGCCATGCCTCCTGAGCTGGGATAAAGGCTGTGCCCCTCTTGGTGGGACAGGTGCACGGTGTTGTTCTTGAAGTGATTTGTGAAGGTCAAGACCAGAGTTCATTGCTCCAGTCCTTCCAATGATATTACAAACACCTAATTCCCTGCATTATTGACATTTTTGCTTAAAATAGCTAGAGTGGTTTCCGTTTGCCACAGATGAACACTGAGTAGACTCAGCATTCATAACTTTCTTCTCACTACTTGGAGAGAGCTAGCTTTCCAAATTTAAAAAAAAATCTTTCTTCAGCTAAAACTAATGAACTCAGTTACTACTGGGGATACATATAAAATCTTTTCATCTTTTAACAAATTGTTGTGTTAACTATGGCTTCAGTAAAAAAACAACAATACAGCATCGCTTACACAGACTATATCTTTAAATTAATGCAAAGGAAAGTTAAGCAAATATTCAGGTAGTTTAGGGTAATTCAGGGGATTTAGTATGATGACTGTGTGAAATGGGTAGGATTGAAAGACAGATGAAATAAGTAAGATAAAGGATGTAATTTTAACTCAGCACATATCTCCTCTTAAACTGAAATATGCACTTAAAAAAATCAGTTTACCCAGATCAAGGAAGCTCTTATAGTGTTTCTTTTAATCACCTTCCTGGGCATAGAAATAGTTTTGTAATATAAATATGCTTTTATCATGTTATCATAGGACAATTCTACCTGCCAGTTTTCTAATATTTATAAATGTATGCCCGAGTTGACCTTAAATGAAATTCAGATAAACTCTCATCTATCTCAGCATATGATGTATATGTCATGTGAAAGAAGTTTTTCTTCAGTTTGATATAAGTATGTTTTTCCTCACTCTCATTTCAGAGCCCTGTCGAAAAATCAAAGAGTGCTTCAGAACTTCCAGTGAGAATCCCTTAGGACTTTGGAAGGTAAAGAAACAACTATTTACAGCTACCTAGTTAGTTTTGACTTCTGTCATTTCCTCTCCTTTTCTTCACATATCTTCCTGGAAAGGCACCTTTCACAATTATTTTTTACAGCTTTATTTAAGTATAACTTAATATGCTATAAAATGCATATATTTAAAGTGTACAGTTTGATGCGTTTTTGACAAATGTACATCCACACCTGGGAAGCCACGACTGAAATCAAGAGAATGAACATGCCTATTACTCCCTGAATTTTTCTCATGACCCTGGTCCTCCCACACGCAAACATTTATCTGCTGTCACCAAAGATTAGCAAGCAATTTTTAGGATTTTATGTAAACGAAACTTATAGTGAACTCTCTTTTTTAAAACCTGGTTCCTTTAGCTCAGCATAATGATTTTAATATTCATCCATGTTGTTATGTGTATCATTACTTCACTCCTTTTTTATTGCTGATAGTATTTAATTTTATTGGTATCCCACAATTTATTTACATGTTCATCTATTGATAGACATTTAGCTTGTTTCCAATTTTGAACAAAGCTGATATGAACATTTGTGTACAAGTGTTTGTATGGGTATATGTTTTCTTTTCTCTTGGGTGAATATGCTGGAGTGGCATGACTGGGTCTTGTAATAGGTGTTTGTTTAAGTTGTTAAGAAACTGCCAGAGTTTTCCAAAATGGCTGTACGATTTTACATTCCCACCTGCCATGTATGAGAGTTTACTCTTCTGCATCTCTTGCCAAACTTAAGTCTGGTCAGCATTTTAAATTTTAGCTAATCTAGTGGTTATGTATTGGTATCACATTGTGGTTTTAATTTGCATTTCCCCAATGACCAGTGACATCTTTTCATGTTCTTACTTGCCATCTATATATCTTGTTATGAAAAGCGTAAGTTCAAATATTAAAATTAGGTTGTTGGTCTTTTTATTATTAAGTTGAGAGGTTATTTACGTATTCTAGATATAATCCTTTTGTCACATACACATTTTGCAAATGTTTTCTTCCAGCTTGAGGCTTATTATTATTATTTTTTGTAATAGTGTCTTTTGAAGAACCAAAATTTGTAATTTTGATGAAGCCCAAATTAAAAAATTTTCTATTATAGTTTCAAATTCACATGCTGTTTCTCTCTATTGTGCCTTACTGCAATGGCTAACCTCTAGCACAATGGTGAATAAAAGTCATGATGGCAGACATCCTTGCCTTGTGCCTAATCATAGGGGGAATGCGTTCAGACTTTCACCATTATGATGTTATGTTATGTTATTCACAGATGCTCTTTATATGGCTGAGGAAGTTCCTTTCTACTCCTAGTGTTCTGAGAATTTTTATCTGAAATGGGGGTAGGATTTTGCCATATGCTTTTTTGCATCTGTTTGAAGTGATCATATTATTTTTCCTTTTTAGTCTGTTAATACAGTGAATTGTATTGGTTAACTTCCAAAGGTTAAACTAATTTTGCAGTGCTGGGAAAAAACTCCACCTGGTCATATGTTTTCTTTTTCTATATTTAATTTAATTTCATAAAACATTGTTTAGCATTTTTGTGTCTATGTTCATAAGAAATATTTGTAGTTTATTTGCAATGTCTTTCCTGGTTTTGGTATCAGTAAAATACTTGCTTCATAAAATAAGTTGGGAACTTCTTTTTAATATTCTGGGAAATTTTATGTACAATTGGTATTGTTTCTTATTTAAAAGTTTAGTAGAATTCTTTAGTGAAGCCATCTGAATCTGGTGTTTTCTTTGAATCAAGGTTTTTAACTGCAAATTCAGTTTCTTATTTTCACAGATATAGGCTATAGGTTATCTGTTTCTTCTTTAGTGAGTTTGGTAGTTTGTTTTTCAAAAAATTTGTCCATTCATCTGTCATTGAATTTGCCGATATAAAGTCATTCATAAAATATCCTTTAAATGATTACATGACCTGTAGATATGTTCTGTCTCTCATTCCTGACATTGGTAATTTATGCCTGTTTTTTTCCCTGATGTGTCTAGCTAGAGGTTTATTAGTTTCATTGATTCTTAAAGAATCAGCTTTTCATTTCATCAATGATCTTTATTGTTTTGATTTTCTGCGTCCATTTCACTGACTTTGGTTCATGACTTTATATAAGATGAAAACTTAGGTCATTGACTTGAGACATTTTTCCCTTCTCATATAAGCATTTATCATAAGTTTTGTATAAACACTGTTTAGGCTGCATCCCCCAAATTTTACTATGTTGAGTTTTCCTTTTCATTCTGTTCAAAATATTTCCTAATTTCATTTAAAATTTCTTCTTTGACCACATGGGTTACTTAAAATTATGTTATATAATTTCCAAATATTTGAGGATTTTAATGCTATCTTTATGTGACTGATTTCCAATTTAATTCCATTGTGGTCAGAAAACATACTTTGTTTACTCTGAGACTTTCAAAATTTATTGTGACTTGTTACATGGCCCAGAATATCGCCGACCTTATTAAATTTTCCATGTGTCTGTAAAAGAATGTTCACTCTGGTGTTCTGGGGAGAATAATCTAAATATCAATTAGGTCAAGTTGGTTAATACTGTTATTCAAGTCTTCTATAGCCTTACTAATTTGCTGCCTACTTTTTCTATCAGTTATTGAGAGAAAGGGGTTGAAATCTGACTATAATTGTGGATTTCTATATTTCTCTTTTCATTTCTATCAGGTTTTAATCATGTTTTGAAGCTCTTTTATTAGAATACCTATTTGCTTTGTCCTCTTGATGAAATGACCCTATTATCATCATAAATTTACTATCTTCAACCCTGATAACATTCTTTGCTTTGAAATCTGTTTCATCAATAGAACTGTTCAGGTTTTCTATTTTTCTTTTTTAAATTAAAGTATAGTTGATTTACAATATTATATTAGTTTCAGGGGTACAGCTTAGTGATTCAGTATTTTTATAAATTAAACTCTATTGGAAGCTATTATGAAATAATGGCTATAATCCCTGTGCTGTACAATATATCCTTGTTGCTTATCTGTTTTATACATAGTAGTGGTTTCAGAGTCAAATGGGACAAGATTAAATGATTTAAAGTTAGCCAGGGAAATGTGAAATTCAATCCAGCAGTGAAGGAGGTTATGACAATCTTGGTGGGAGTTTCATTAACTTCTTTGAGTATACAGCAGAATTAGGTAATGGAGCCTTGGGCCCAAGAAAGACCAGTTCCCTCTACAGGGCATCAGGTATCTGCTACTCTAGTGATTCTAAAGGCATTTTTATTACCAACTTTTTGAACTCATTGTTTGATAGACTATCTCTGTGTCATTATTTTTTCAGGGGTTTTCTCTTGCTCTTTCAATGAGAGTAGGTCTTCTGCCTTTCATTTTATTTAATTTTCTCTGTCTCTATAAATTAAGGTGAAACAGTTACCAACTGCAGTCTTGAAGGGGTGTCCATATGCAGGAACACCTCTATACAGACTGCTTATGCCCAGTGCCTTTGGTTGAAGAGCTAGATTTTTTTGTTGTTGAAGGGCTAGATTTGATGTGGATATAAGTCACGTCTTTCCTCAGAAGGTACTGGCAGCTGTCACCTTGGTAGGAGATGGGGATGGAGATGGAGGGGCTAAGGTTTGAGCCACATGTGAGGTGGGGCTCCTCTCTGCTCAGCGGCCATCACCACCCTAATGGTGGTGGGGTCGGATCCCAAAGCTGCTGGAGCAGCAGCTCTGAGGGTCAGGTCTGAGGTGGCTATTCCCTTTAAGTGTGCTTCCCCTTCTCCCAGCACTGGGACCCTTGCCCCAGAGGGAAGCTGTGCTGAAGGAAGAGGGGGACTTGCAGGCTCATGATGGGGCATGGGCTGTGGCAGGTTAGCCACAGACAGAATCCAAACTGGCTCTGATGTGCCACCTGTGTGGGCAACAGTAGTTGTTGCCCTCACCCTGCTCAGATGCAGCCCAGAGTTCAAGTCCTCTTTGTCCGTCACAGCCGATCACTCTTCCCAGCCTCTACTGCCCTGACCCTGTGTGCAGCCACAGTGCAGGGCAGGTGGGGCCCGTGTGGGCTCTCAGTATGTATCAGGAGCAGGCTGTGATGGACTGGCTGCTATCAGAGTTCCAGGCTGCTTCTGATGCACTGCCTGAGTAGCACCAATAACGGCCACCCCCCCCACCCCACCCAGAAGCTACCCCAGATCTGAGTCACCTCTGCGTTTCACAGTCAAGCTATCTCCCCAGCTGTGGCAGCCCTCGCTCCAGTGGGGATCCGTGAAGGTGAAGTAAGCAGGGCTGAAACGTTCACTTGGCTCAGGCTGCGGCACACGTTGGGGTTGTGGCAGGAACCGGGCAGCCACTGGGGCAGTCTTTAATCCTTCCTCACTGAGCTGCCTCAGGGACAAGCCAGTATATGTGGGCTCCTCACGAGCAGAGTCCAGAGTTCAGGGCAGAGTCAAGGCTTTCTGTAGCCCTCCTGCTAGGTCCAGCGGTCCTCCACCCCGCCAAGGGGGCTCATCTTCCCCGTGCAGGACCTGAGGGCCAGGATGCTCAACAAGTGCGTTGAACCACTTACTCCTCAGGGTGAATCTCACCCTGTGGATTCTCCCTTTACTTCTGAGTCCCTCCCTGTGGCACAGGTCACTTCTCTTCCCTTCCTACCCTATTCTCTGTGGAGCTTTCTTTTTTTGGTGGGGGAGGGGGTAGGTAATTAGGTTTGTTTCATTTATTTATTTATTTGGAGGCACTGAGGGGTTGAACCCAGGACCTCGTGCATGCTAAGCACGCGCTCTACCACTGAGCTATACCCTCCCCCATTAACCCCGTGGATCTTTCTCACAGCCTTGATTAGACAGGAGTCTGTCAGTTTCCAGTTAGTTTTCAGTGAGGATTGTTCCACATGTAGATTGTATTTCTGATGTGTTTGTAGGGGGAGATGAGTTCCACAGCCTCCTGTTCTGTCATCCTGCCTGTTAGGTGTCTATTTCTTCCTGAAATGATTTTGGTAATATATTCTTTTTCTAAAAATTATTCATTTTGTTTAAATATTAAAACTTATGGATCATATTATACATAATATCCACAGAATCTGTAAGATGTACCCTTTTACGTATCAGTTTTGTTAGCTTGTGTCTGATCAGTTTCAATTTTATTAGTATATCAAATAACTAATTTTTGTGGGGTTTTTTTGATCCTCTGTGTTGCATGTTTCTATTTTGTTGATTTATTTATCTTTTTTCTCTTTCCATTCACACTTTGTATTTTATTGTTCTTTTTCTAACTTCTTTTATCTTTGTAACATATATATTTAAAGCTACAAACCCCCCTCTGAGGATTGCTTTAGCTGCTTTCATAATTTTTGCTATGTAACATTTTTATTAGGATTAAGTCAATCTTTTTTCTAATTCACATTATAATTTTTTGTTTGATTCATGACTTAATTCCTGGACATTATGTATGAAAAATCATTTATAGGAATCTGAAGCTCATGATAAATGGATTTTCTTCCAGATAACTGGTGCTTGTTTCTGTAGGAACCCAGAGGCCCTGCCAACCTAGATCAACTTACCCAAGTTCAAACTTTGATCTCAGGCTATATTTCTTCAAGGATTTTGGACTTCTAGGTCACCTTCACCTTGAGGGATGTAGCCCTTTGTTGGCCTTTATTTGGGTCCTGAGCCTTGAGTCCTGTCTTTCAGAAACTTTAAGGCTGTAAAAAGGAAAGTTTTCATTCTCTAGGGTAAGACAGTGATCTCAGGGCAAAACTGGCTACTATACATCCTATAACCTCAAGTGTTTCATTTCCGCTTCACTTTTTGATCTATTAATTCCTATGTTACATATGGAATATATATGTAAATATACACACATATATGTATGCATGTAAGTAAATACGTGTGTATATATATACCATTTACACATATGTATGTGTGACTGTGTGTGTGTATATATATAATAGCTATTCCCCAAAACAAGAATTCTACATAATAAACCTTAACAGAGGAGTGCATCTATGTACAAGATAGCTTTATTTTCAACTTTTTGTTCTATCAGTTCTAATCACCACAGTCCCGGTTGTTGAAACATTCAGCCATCAGCTTATGTATCTTAAAATATCACTCACTTATGAAAATTAAAAAGCCTTTCTTGGAATAGACACAGATTTTTTTTTTAATTGCAAAAAGTATATTTACCTCCCAGAACAAGAAAATGGACTATTTCCTTTTCCAGCTAGTCAAGGGAAGTAATTTAGTTTACTGCTCCAATTCTCCAGCTCTCAGCTGGCATTGAGCAGAGTCAGGAAGCTGCAGTTCACACCATGTAGTCTCTTCACAGATAGCATGAAACTTCTCAGCTGACTTTTCCCAGCCATAAAACAGAAATCTCCCCAACTCAACAGAAAATCCCATGTATCATGAGTTGGTTGCTATCAGGAGCAGCAAGATAAATAATGGTTTCACATTAAATATTAAAAAATTATTACCTGAATGTTTAACCAAGAGTTTAAAATGGTTTCATAAAAAGTAAATAATGTATCACTATTTGTTATGTCTCTAAATGCAAATATTTGATAATTAGATTTTTAATGGAGGATTAAAACTAACCTCTTTTTATTTTCATGTATGTCTCTCAATTAGCTATGAACTTTCTCATTCACTTTACATTCAATTTTCATAGAAAATATAAATGGATGCAAGTACATATTGATTGTATTATACCTTTGACCTTTGATTTAGGAAGAAATTAAGGTAAAAAACTCACCGTCACCACCAAAGGCATGCTCTTCTGCTGGCTCTTGTTCTTCAGAGGTGATAAGTGCCAAGACTGATGTCAAAGAGAGCACTGTCTGCATACCAAACTATCTGGATCAGGAAATCAAAGTAAGAGGCAGGTTTATTAAATCCGTAACTTGGGAACAGCATGCATACACAAAAAACCACATCACTAGTATCCTTAAAACTCTCTAATGGTTCCCACTGACAACTGAATTGATTTAAAACTACTTAGCCTGAAATCCAAGGTCTGCTTCTATTTTTCACTTGCAGATTCTCCCCGGAATCCTGTCATTCTTACAGAAACACAGTCTTTGGTTTAGACATAATGGAAAGCTCAGTGTTTGCCAAACAAACTCGGCCTTATGTCTTCTTATGCCTTCCTAATGCTTGAACGGCCTTACCCCCAACTTCTTTCCATTATCTGTACATCTCCTTCACATGTTTTAAGGCAGAGATTCCATCAATTAACACTCGTCTCTCCTTCTTAACTGTAGACAACTGTTTTCTCAAAATTTTTCTGCTTGGGGTTATAAACTTATATACTTGTCTGTCTTGGTTACTGCTTTATCTTTCATGCCTAGATAAGTGCTAGACAATTAGTAATTTTTAAATAAGTGTTTATTGAATGTTGAATAAATAAATAGAAAAGTGCTACCAAGATCAAAGTAGAACTTTAGAAAATCAGCTATCCACATAGACTCTTAGCTACGTAACAGGCTGAGTGCAGTTTTAGTAAGGCTGTCTTGCTTCCTTGAGCACACCAATAGACCAGCATGATCCCACAGAACTGGCCTTGTAGGCTTCTGTTGAGAAGCTTTCCTCTCAAAAGTATCTTCCACCTTACAGGTATTGACTAAACTGGCCATCAATTGATATAAAATCCACTAAAATGTAAACTTTTTGAAGGAAGGGATCTTATCTGCCTTGTTCACAACTAATTCCTCAGCATTCATCACTTTGCTTGAAAAATATTAACTGGCCTGCACAACATGGCATTTCATCAAATAGTTGTTAAATAAATGAAAGGAGAGGGAACAAGGTGAGAAAACAGGTCATATCAAGATTTTTTGGCTTGTATACATGGGTCCTAAAAATAGTACTCATTTTGGTGGTACTTCATCCTCTCATGCCTCCTACAAAAAAAATCTAAAATACTTTCCAATTTCCTACTATCTAGGCTGGTAACTCTTTATGGGTTGTGAGATCAAGAAATGTTGGTGTAGGGGTAGGTGTGTAAGAAGGAGTTACTACTTTAAAGGAAAAGAAAAACAGAATTCTGCGTCTGTTAGCATTTTGTTTTGGCCTTCCTCCCAGAGATCTTCAATTTATAGGAATAATAGTCTCTTTACTATTGACACCAAGAGTCTGCCAAACACATTCATTGATTCTATAAATATTTAGTGTCAAATGACAAAATACTGGAGTTTGGGAATACGGTGGGTTCCTTCATTTACATAGCTTGTGAGAGGGACTGTACAAACTTTGTAAGAACATATAGAAGTCGATTTGGAGCTAAGAGAGTCTTCAAGGAGCAAGGAATCTAAAAAAATGTTTAAGATACAATTAGAAAGTGAAGAAAAGTATGGAAGAGGTCATTCTCAGGCAAGAGACCTTCGTATCTAAAGGCTAAGAAAGAGGTGAGAGCACTGGTTATTCAAGGAACAAAAGCGATTAATATGGCTGATGCAGAGGGTGCCGGGAGAAATCTGCCAAAGATGGGGCTGAAGACTTAAGCAGAGACCAGATAGTAAAGTACTTTATAAGCTGTATTGAGGTGTTCAGATTTCATCCCAAGGGCTGAATTACTTTATAAGTACAAGAACACATGGTCAGAGTTGTACTTTGGAAAAATCACTCTAGATCCAATACAGAGTTCATTTGGGAAGGGGAAACAGAATTGCAGGCAAGGTATTCTGCTTCCAAAATGATAGATTAGGTTCAAGACTTAGCCTCCAACTGTAAACAACTATACAAATAGACAAAAGAGAAAAAAAAAGTGAATTGCTCCTCTAGAAGATGTCGGAACTGAACAGACAAAATAAGAGAAAACGGCATCACCTAAATTATTGCAGTTGACCCTGGAACAAGACGAGTTTGAACTGTGCAGGTCCACTTACACGTGCATTTTTCAATAGTAAATACTACGATACCGCCTGATCCATGGCTGGTGAATCTATGGATGTGGAACTGTGAGTACAGAGGGACCAACCACCTATGCAGAGGGCTGACTATAAGTTATACTTGGATTTTTAACTTCTTAGAGGGTTGGCACCCCTAACCCTGGCCTTCTCAAGGGTCAACTGTACTTGTATTGAAGATGTTTTTTCCCTAATTGAAATCTGGCTCCTGAGCTAAAACCCCAATTGACTTGAGCATTGTGTACAGTGACAGTTGGGAAGATGAGACTGTGGAGAAAGTAAAGCAAACCTTATAAACCTTGATTACTGTGTAACTCTAATATTCTCTGTTAGATTCTGGAAAAGCTCTGTAACATTTTACAGACTGATTCTCTGGCAGAAGTTCTACAGTGGCTGCTTCATGCAAGTTCCAAAGGTGAGATTAAGCATTTGTAAGCACTGAGCTCAGTTTTTTCTTTTCTTTTCTTTTTTTTTTTTTTGTCAGAAACTAGGAATGTACCAGTATCTGAAGCTTTTTATCTTGGATTTGCAAAGATAGTGTTGCAATATTACTTCCCTAGTGTTTCAGTATCAGAGTCCTATGTATCCAGCTGTACGCAAGCTGGTCTTGCAGTGACCCAAACTTTGGTATGCTCCATGCTGAACTTCTTTGGGCGACGTGGAACACTTGTGTCCAGACCTGGTTTGCGCTTCTCTTCCTGAGTCCACACGCCCAGGCCCTCCCTGAGCATGTCTCCTGGCCGCCTCTGAACCCTGAACACAGCCTGTTGCCCTCCTTTGGTGTGGATGGCAGTAGCACAGCCTTCCAAGTTCCAGACTCTAACAGCTCTGCCAATTCCTCACCAAAACCGCCAAGTCAGTCATCTCCCAGCCTCCTTTAGGCCCTTCCTGGTGCCTGCGTTTCCATGAGGACATATTCCAGTCCCAAGTAGGATAACCATAAATAGCACAGAGCAGCTATCCTCAAATCCAGCTGGTCTCAGACTGAGACAGGCTTCTGAGGTGGACGGGGCCTGAGAGCTGGCATTTCTAACAAGTTCCCAGGTGACGTTGGAAGGGCTGGTTTGGGGACCTCTCTTTGAAAATCGCTGCACGAATCAAAGTTAGGAAATACCAATGTGTTAGGGACAGACTAATGTTTTGAAATGGGGAGCATTTTGGAGATAGCACCTTACCTCAAGAATTCAAGATTACTTGGCAGGCAATTGAGAAGTATTTGGGGGTCAGGAGTTTTTAGTTATTCTTTTTTTCCCCACTTTTTAAGAATGCAACTTTTAAAAATTTACACAAGTATTGAGTGCTTATTGTTGGATGAAAAACAGATGAACCAGAAAAAAAAAAAAGAGGAAAAATAATAAAATTATTACAGACATCATTTTAGTAATACTTTGGTATATATATCTTTGTAGAGATGCTTATAAATGTTATTTAACTATTAGTTTTTATTTTAATGAGATATTATACTTAATATTTTATATAGACATCATTATTATTATTTTTTTAAATTTGGCAGTGGCCTGTAAGGCTGGGTTTTGTACTCAGTATTTAAACTCTGTTCCACTGCCGTTCAGGGACAAGGACCCCAGTGAGCTGACTACTCTGAGCACTCTACAGTATCACAGGTCAACAGAAACTAGGTTGATGTGAACCTCTGACTCACACATAGGGGCCTACCCCCGAAACAGACCACCTTTCAACGCTGGAGAGCTGGGTCAAAGAACTAATCCTGTGTTTCCTGCTAATGTGATAATTATAACCTTCATGGCCCCTTCTTTTTTTTTAAATCAGAAAAGGAGTGGGTCTCAGCTTTGATTCATGCTGAGCTGGCTCAGATAAACTTGTTAACTCACCTCAGAAGAAGCACCTCAGCAGAACCAGCAGCAGAGACTGGGAGGCCACAGAAAGTCAAATCGCCCCCAAATTCACCAGCAAGATCAAAAGTGCTACCCAGATCTACGGAAAGACATCAACTGAGCAGGTAATGAGGCCTAATGGGCCAACCTGTGGGGCATGGGGTTCATAAAAACTTTGAATTCCTTTCTGGTTATCTTTCAAAACACGAAAATGGCTGAGATTTTTAAGTATCTTCTTTATTCAGTAAATGACAGGAATGTGTATTTGTTTTCTTTCATTTTCATAAATGTAATATGAGAACCCATTCTAAATCCTATTGTTCAGAGCGTTTTGGCAGAGGCTATGTTTTCCTTACCCAACAACCTATCTTTTTGAGAAAAGTTCCCTTTCTACTCAGGGCAAAGCAAGCGTAGTCACCCAGAAATCTAAGCAACTATAGTGGTTTTTAGTTATTTAAAAACAGAAGCAATAAAGGAAACCAAAGTTGCACTGCTATTGTATATTGTTAAATGCTTATCACAAGGGTATCACATTTTTTGTCTAGAACAATCCAAGATTAAAATATACTGCTTCACTTAATTTTCTCTGACATATGCCTGGGGGCTGCCAGAGGAAAAAACAACTATTAAGGAAATTGGAAATTATTTCAGTAGAAATTTTTCTTAAGCCTTGTAATTTCAATGACAGAAGAAAATACATATTTATGTATAACATCATGGTCAAAGAATGTGGTAAGATGTTATTTAAGCTGGGAGAGAAAATCTTGTTGCTTTAAAATTAAAAGTTGGGTAAATCTTAAAAACAGAAAAAATAAATATTCACAAACACATAACATGTCACTGTAAAAAGCATTAAGACAGGGGAGAATTTTACATTGCAATCTGTCTCCCCCTTGAAGTTTCCATAAAATTGGAAACTGGGAGATAGGGTCAGTTTCTCTACCTTAGTGAGTAACATTTGAGGTACTGTTCCAATATTTACTCAAAGTCAGAAGAATTTTTCACTGAAAAGTACATTTAATACTGTCTGCATCAAAAAATAAAAAAGAATTGGGATACTTGTTTAAGATACATATATATATATATATAGTATATATATGTACATATATATATATATATATGTATACACACTTAGCTTATTGATGAGTGCAGTCTATAGAAAATACTTGTTTGTATCTGTGAATTTCATTTTCTCTTTCTCCAATTGATTTAGAGTGGCAAGCCAAGGATCTGAAGGAAATAAGGAAATACCAAAAGGTTAAGTACAGTTTGTGATAATTACTGAGTTGGTATAAGGAAATCAGTAAGTATCTAACTGTCAGAGATACAGAGGTTAAGGATCTATGGTTTTAAAGGCGGTATATGTATTACACTAATTTCCAGCTACCCTTAAGGGACAGCATCTGCCGAGTTTCTCACAGAGATAAACCTGCCCAGTACCTGACTTTGTTCTGAAAGGCGAAGCGTCTCATTCCTCCCTTTGAGGGCAAGACAGCAGGACAGCAGGAGCCCTAGCTTTGGTCATGCCAATCCAGTGACAGGGGAAGCCCTCCATGGACTTAACAGAAGGACAGTGATTTCAGAGTTTTGGTTCTTTGCAACTTAACTGTCATTAAGCTAAATGATTTTCACTTGCAACAAAGTCAACCAGAAAAAAAACCAGTAAAATTTTGATAATCATCTATAAGCAGATGCTCGTGACACAGCTGAGATACAACAGAGTAAATGGCAGTTTGTGTCCCCATCAGAAGTCCAGCCCCAGCTGCAATTTGGACCAAGAAACATCAAGAATTGTGGCAAGTCCTAGTTTGGTCCAGAATAGTCCAACTGAAACACCCGTGGGTTTGGCAGCTCCTTACTTTAAAACAAACACAGCAACAATGGCTACAGTGCAACAACTATGAAGTATGCCTACAAGCCTCGAACGGAAGTCTCTCTTACCATTTCTGCAGGTTCCCCTTATACCAGGAATGATAGATACAGCAATCAGTCAGAGGTCCTTGAGGTCACTCTAGACCCCAGCAGTTTCCGCTGGGGTTAACCAAACCTGAAAGAGCCTCTATCTGCCTATCTCTAGCTCTGAAATAAGTACAGTTAAGGAGTTAGAAAATACTCCCTTACTCTGACACCCCAAGCATGGTCTATTGTATCTGACGTCTCCTAACAAACGCTTCACCCTCAGGCCACAAAATCATGACAGTGATTGCTTCTATTACTCAAGTTTATGTCTTACCCATAGGCCTCAGATATATTTTATCCAGCCTAGATATTTGTATAAAAATCCCCAAACCATACCCCTTTGTCTCCAGTGTTGTATCCGCATCACCCCAAATCCTTATTTCTGCTTGGGTGTAACCATGCAGGGCTTGGCAAGGTCTTATGAGTACAACTGTTTTAACCTCTTGTCTACTTTCTTTTTTATGTATCAGGACCATAGGTCCTTCTCCTTTCTCTGAATGACCCACCACCTTTGTCCACCACCAGTTCTAAATCATTCCTTCCAAAATTATACTTCATTCTAAGACTAAAAGAGTATATCCTGCATGTTATAGAATAAATAACTCATTAGAGATGAGCAGATAGAAAGATGAGAATAAATTATTTTACAAATTTTTGGTGCATCTGATTCACCTAAACTTCATAGACTTATCTGTATGTCATTTGCTGCTAAAACATGGCAGGAGCTACTATATTTGATGTCTCAACTATGGTCTTACTAAGACTTTTTCTATTTCAGAGGCTGAGCACAACCCTCCATTGTTTATGAGAAGAAATGAAATGAAAATACCAGTTGCAGAATATTTCAGCAAACCAAAGTCTCCTCCCAGGCCTAAAACTCAGGAGAGCATGTCAACGAAAGCAATGTCAGCAAGGAATATACAACAAGGATACAGTCTCTCTCCCCAAAGAGCATTTTATCCTGTAACACACCAAAGGTAGAAATTCTAGACTGAGCTAATTCTTTCACAAATATGAGATATTTCACTTTGTTGCAACATCAAATTATTAAAAAATCTTTTTAGAATGGAGGAATCAATAGCTCCTCTATTTTGTGGCACATGCAAATTTCAAAGCACCTGTTATAATGCTACTAAATAAAAATTAATGGAGACAACATTTCTATTTATAATTAATTTAATGCTATGTGTAAAAAGAAGTATGTTTATTTACATACTACATTTTGCACTAGTCTTGCACTATTAATATTAGTATGTAAGCATTAGGCTCTGATACTAGAAAAATCATCCATAATCAGAATTAGGCAGTTTTAATTCAACACCTACCCCAAACTCTAATAGAAAATAAACAACAACAACAATAAACAAACATCTGAGTTTTAACATCTGAGCTACTTTCTGCAATCTACAGTTTTTCAGTGTTGTTGGACTATTAGAAGAATTCTCACCTCTCCCCAAAAAGAAGAGATATAAAAATGATTCCTAACTTATGAGCCAGAAAGAAGCCAGTTTCCATTCACTGCTCACTGTGAATGATGTTAACACACTTCCTAATATTGAACTTTTGTATTTTGAATAAACCACTCTTGGGCCATACTATTATTCTTTCAGTGTATTGCTGAATTTATCCACCAATTAGCCACTCTTTTATTTAGAATATTTTTGCACTGATGGTCAAAACAGATACATTTTGTGTGTACATGTGTGTACGCATATGATCACATACGATCTTAATGATAACATTTATACCACACTGTGTGTCAGGAGTCATTCTAAATACTTTAGATATAGTAACTTATTTAATCTTCACAGTAACAATTTGAGTTATCCTCACTTTTATCTAAAATAAGAAAACTGAGGCACAGAGAGTTGTGCTCATTGGGATGAGACAAAACAGTTGTAACAGATATCATCATTCAAATACAACAGAGGTTTATTTCTCATGTAAGAGTCAAAAGTGTGTATTTTCAATCAGCAGATGACTTCATTTTACCTGGTGATTCAGAGGCCCAGGATCCTTCCATCTTGTGGTTCAACCATCACCTATGGTTTCATTAGCAACTTCATCATGCTGGCAAAAGGACAAAGAGAGTGGTAGAAAGTTTTAACTTCCTACAGCTGCTGTAATAAATTGCCACAAACTTAGTGGCTTAAACCAACACAAATTTAAACTCTTACAATTCTGGGGCCAAGGTCTGAAATGGATCTCATTGGGCTAAAATCAGGGTGGTGGCAGGGCTCCCTTCCTTTTGGAGGGTTTAGGGGAGAATCTGTTTCCTTGCCTTTTCCAACTTCCAAGAGAGTTTACCCTCAATTCTTGGCTCATGACTCCCTTCTATCTTTAAAGCCAGCAATGGCTAGTTGAGTTTTCCTCACATCACATCACTTACACTGACTCTTCTGTCCCCCTCTTCCAATATTAAGGACCCAGTGATTACAAAGGGCCTGTCTGCTGTTTAGGTTATCAAAGATTATCTTAAGGTCCAACGATTAGCAATTTAATTTCCCTTTACCATGTAACATTACAGATTCCAGGGATTAGGATCTTTGAGGGGACATTCTTCTGCCTTCCACAAGGGGGGTACATCTGCTTAAAATGGCCCTGAAATGGGAAATATCACTTCTAGTCACATTCCATGGTTGAGAACTAGACTAGCTAAAAGGGGGCTGATAAAATTATTAAGTAGGAATCATAATGTGGCCACAACTATAGTCTAGGGAAAGGAAAACTGGATTTTGGTGGAAGCTGACTGACTCAAAAGTTTAGTGACTGGTTTAAAGTGTAGCTGGAATCTATTTGCTTAACCACTAGGCACTACTGATATGTATCAAGACCATACTCACTTCATAAAATTCACATCAAATCTTTCTCCCTATCTTTTTCCTGTCAGGGAGAGGCTGCAACAGCATTGTAGACTCCTTTTCCTTGGAAACTTAATAAAATTCACCTATCAGATGCCCATGTAGGTCTGGTGTTTCAAGGGTGGTAGTCCTTTGACAATTTTATTTCTTCTATGATAACTGGTCAGTTTATATTTTCTGTATTTTGGAGAATCAATTTTGGAGATTTTTATTGTCTTAGAAAATTAATCATTCCATCCAGAGTTCTAAATTTATTTTCACTGTGTTAAGACAAATCTGTCTCATAATTCTCCAAAATTCCTCATTATGTTTATTCTGCAATCTCATTTTTAGGTATTTATAATTTTTTGGCTCAATTAGCTAATGGCATTTTACATTTTACTATCACTTTCAGAAAATGAGATCTTGGGTTTAGTGCTATGTTGTACAATATTATTGTTTTTTAATTCATTAATATCTCCTTTTACTCTTCATTTCTTTTAGTTTCTTTGGGCTTATTATTGTTCTAATGTCCTGAGTTGATTGTTTTTAGTATAGTTATATTCAGTCATTCTCATTTATTAGCACAAGTTTTTAAGGTGAGATTTATACCTAGAATGTAATGATGGTTCAATATAAGAAACTCAATGTAATATACCACATTAATAAAATGAAGGACAAAAATCACACCATTATTTCAATTAATGCAGAAAGAGCATCTAATGAAATTCAGCACCCCTTCATGATAAAAACACTCAACAAACAAGGAATAGAAGAAAATGTTTCCCTTATAATTTCCCTTATAATTCTTAACCTTAAAACCTGAATCTCTAGTGAAAAACCAAGAAGCAAGGACTAACAAAATATGGGTCGCCACTTCACCAATGACTTCTAACTGGGTCTGTTGCACCAAATTGGTAGACCAAGGGATTGAGATTTTAATCATGCTAGACTCGGATCCAGGACTTAGAACTTTGGAGTATCTCCAACTCTGTGTCATCTCCCAAATTGAGGCAGGCCTATGCCCCATTTCAGCAGGAAGCACCCAGAGCAGTCACTACTCCACTCCCTGAAACATCTGGGGAAGGATCAAAGAAAAGGCATGTTTGAAACTGAGTCCCCCTAAAACTGAGTTCCTCTGCCAAGTTTATGATTAACCTCTATCCAAAACATTATTCCTTTTCTTGTCCAACACCTGTTCTCCTCAAGATCGAGGCGTATCAAAAAAAAAAAAAGGGGGGGGGAGGATTGATACTGAGCAGGATCCTGTAGGGTCCTCCCTGGTATGAATGGTTCCATGTCCCCCATTTCTTGTTGTAGGAAGCAGGCTTCATTCAGCCTCCTTGACCTTCTCTGAGTTCCAAACAGCAGATTCAAACAGTTGCTAATCAAGGAACGGAGGGAATTTAGAAACAAGGGAGGAGCATTCAGGAAATAATAGTGCAGCTTTGGGGTAGGGTCCTTTTTCCTCCTCAAGAAATAGACATAATAATATTTAAGTTCTTCTGCAGGAACTGAGGCCCTCCAACCCCTGCCTCTTGATTAAGGCACTAGGTGATCAGCCTGCGTTGCGCCCCCTAGATGAACAGTGTTTACTTAATGTTCACAGTGAAGCACATCATGAGGATTGATCCTCAGACACTTCTGGGAGGTCCTCACTCACCTGAGGATGGCTTGTGGCTGGAAGGAGCAAAATGCCCCTTTATTCTTTGGAGCTGAATAATTCAGTCTCTTATTTCACCAGCAAAAGTTTTGTTCAGACCATTCATCAACTCATTTTTATTTTTTCCAATTTAAGCAAATTTAACAAAAACCCAGCCATCTATGTTCCCCCGGGCCTCTTGGCCAGACCCTCCTAGGTCCTGGCCTTGGAAATGAACTGGTGCCCCTTAAGAGTCCAAGTCTTAAGTGAAAACCATCTCAAATAAAATTTTTAGGGTCATCTCCCAAATAATGAGATCTGAATTATCAGGAGAACTCACCAGAACACCTGAGGAGTACAGAGAAGCCGGTGGGGCTCAATGGGCCCAAGCTGGTACCAAGCACTGGTTCTGGGTAGACTCCAGGTGTCCTCTGGCTGGTGTCTCTGATATCCTGCTGACTATGCCTAGTATATGTCAATGAAAAATTAATCAGCTGATATAAGAAAGAAATGGAAAACTTTATTCAAGCCAAAATTAAAGATTATTACCTGAGAAGAGCATCTCAGAAAGCTCTCAGAACTTTTCTACCTGTTAGAGGTCAAGGCACTGTTATATGTTTTTTGAGGCAGTTTATAGTTTTTGTTGACAGTTTACATAATCCAGATCTAAGTGCTATGTGACCCCTTATGAGATCAAGAAGGAATGTTATTTTAAAGAAGTTGTCTTAGGAGAAGTTGCTCTTCATGGCTGAGTGGGGAATTTCCACTGATGGGGGAGGTTTGGTTGATGCATAATGCAGATACACAGTGCACAGTGGGAGGCGAGAGGAGGCCAAAGGGCAGAGAAGAATTTTTTAATGTTTAAGTTCTTATTATCTCGCCATAAAATGTGATTTTATTTCACAAACTTCAAGACATTGAATTGGACAGTGATTTCTTGGATATGACACCAAAAACACAGGCAACAAAATTAAAGATAAATGAAACACCATCAAACTTTAAAACTTTGTGTCAGAAGAAAAAAGGCAACCTATGGAATGAGAGAAAATATTTGCAAATAGTACATTTGACAAGGGGTTAATATCTAGAATATGTAAGGAATTTCTACAACTCAATGCCAAAAAAACCCCAATTTAAAAATGAGCAAAAAACTTAAGGCTTTTCTCCAATAAGATATTTAAATAGCCAGTAAGCACATGAAAAGATGTTCAGCATCAGTAATCAGAGAAATGCAATCTTTTGATTGCATGATCACATTGAGCTATCACTTTACATCATCGGGATGGTCACTATCAAAACAACAGAAAATAAGTTTTGGTGAGATAGGGAGAAATTGGAACTGTTATGCATTGTTGGTGGGGATGTAAAATGGTACATCCATTATGTAAAACAGTATAGAGGTTCCTCAAAAATTTAAAAAGAATTAACATATGATTCACTAATCCCACTTCCGGGCATATATCTAAAAGAACTGAACGCACGATTTCAAAGAGATATTTATACACACATGTTCATCACAGCATTAGTGAAAATAGCCAAGAGGTGGAAGCCATCCAAATGTCCATGAACAGATGAATAATAAAGAAAATGTAGTATATACATACACTGGAATATTGTGCAGCCTAAAAGAGGAAAATCCTGTCCCATGCTACAACTTACATGAACCT